TTTATATCATTATAATAGAATTAGCATGACCATAATCAAACCAAATTATTTATCAGACAATTATTTAAAATATCCGATTAATAAATTACGGAATATTGGCATTAAAACTGCACCATCAAACTACATATTTGTAATGGATGCTGATTTTGTTCCAACAAGAAATTTATATCATTTCTCAATGGAAAATCTAATTCCAATACTAGAATCACCACCTAACAATAATAACGACAATAACAACAATAGATATTATCAAAAACCAACAGCATTTGTAGTACCATGTGTTGCGATACATGAAAATTATTTTGGTAAATTTCCAAATACAATATCAGAATTGAGAGATTTATATAATAAAGGTATAGCTTACATAACTGATCCTTTTGCTGGCCACGGTCCAACTGGTACACAAATTCTATTATCACATCAATTATACAATTCAAACCCTTTCTATGAAATATGTTATGAATCACAATGGGAACCTTACTACATTATATCAAAATCATCGCCATACTATGATGAACGATTTGAGAATCAAGGCGGTGACAAACAACAACATGCATTATCATTGAACGCATTAGGTTACAGATTTTTGGTTTTGAAAGATCATTTTATTTATCATATGGATCATAGGAAATTGGTTTGGGCTGATGGTGGCCTAGAGAAAAATCAGAAACTTCTAAAAGATTTCACTTATTTTGATCATTATATACCAGAGATGCAGCGTATTTTTGGTAATAATGTTAGATGGCCAAGAGGTTGCTCTCATCCTTTTGTAAAAGAACAATTTAGAGATTTAATGGGAATTGGATTAAATTAATATAACTGGAAACTATATTTAAGCAATAATTGTTTTAATTTTATAAATAGAAGAAATAATTAATATAGATTTTTTTTAGAATAATAAAGGGCTAATATTTTAGATTTATCAAATATATGGAGCATACTGCAATAAAACCAAAGTGAACATTATGTCACGAGGAAATTTCGGGGATCAAAACTTGGTGTAATTGGGTGATAATTTCTAAAAAGGATTTATTATGTTTATCACTTCATAATTTCCCTATCACTATTTTTTTTTCTTTGCTGACTATAAAGGGAAATGTATCAGTCCACCCCTCTATGAAATGTAATTAATGATTGTCATATAATTTTTGATCATCCATACATTCAAGGCATATTTTATGTGATTTAAATAAATCTTTGTCTGATTGGCATCAAAACAAGGCAAATAATCTCACCTTGTGTTCACAATTCATTTTTGTTTAAAAAACAAGTGATACAATGGTTTGTTTTAATCAACAATGATTAAGAAAAAATTCTTACTTTCAATAGTGAGTTTTTTTGTGAGTTGTGAGTTGGACTCCTTTTTGGTTTCATGCTTCACTATAAAGCTCACAAAAATCAATTCTATATTATAAATCAAAAAATTGATCAAATAATTGATAAAATAGAACCAAGAAAAAGTCAACTCAAAAATAAAATAACCAACTTACTGATGATAAAAAATATTCACAAGAAATAGAAAATCTATGGAAGGATTTCAAACAATTATTTGACAAAAAGACTGGATTGAATCCCGATTTTTCATTCAGTGAAATGGAAAAGGAGTTGCTACTTCCACAATAAAAAATTTCTATCAATGAAAAACAAATCCTAGAAGAAAAATGATAGAAGCAATTCAAGAATGGGTCAACAAAGAAAAGAAGAAAGAAGTGGAAAGCGAAGATTACAAAGATGATGAAAACAAAGAAAATATGAATATTAATAATAACATTATTGATAATAATAAAAATAGTAGTAGTAGTAATAGTGAAAGTTGAATTTTTGTCAGAGTGCCCAAAGAATAGGTAATACTTACAAATGGCTTTAGGTCTGAGTATTTTCCTCCCATGCAAGTGCTCTGACTTTAACTTATATTTTTATAAATTATTTATGTATTTTTCTATTATTAGTTGAATTAAAATAAAAATAATTTTCTTTTGTTGTTTAGGTAAGCATTATAAAGTAAAAAACCACCCAATTGTTTTTGATTTACCACCATTAAATAGTTATTAAATCAAATTTTTAATATAATAATAATAATATAATTTACATGAAGGATGTTATCAATTTCAGATAATATTATACATTCTAAAAAATTTGAAGGACACTTTATTATTATTATATATTAATATTAATATAGTCTGTTTCCTTTAAAGGATCAACAATAATTTGTGGTTGCATGATTTGAAAAGCTAATGTCATTAATTGCACTCATGAGATTCATGAATTTCATGAATGCAATCACTAGTCATTATTGACCAATAATGTTTTGATTTTTAAAAAAACAACAATTGGAGCTTATCAAGTATTATTGAATGCCATCGGATGAAAAATGATATTAAAGAACTTTAAATCATTTTCCCACTCATGGTTATCGAAAAAAAGAGCATTTCCGGAACGTTTTGAAGCAAGTCATTCATTACTTATTCTTAAAAAATTTTGGTAAAGGGCCTAGGAGTGCAATTGTCTTATCAAAACATACACTGCCTGGAAGAAAGTATCTGAACCTCGTTTTTTATTAATTCCGCAAACTTTTACATAATAAAAAAAATTTTGAAAATATCATCATGTAGTCATATGCGCTGATTTTGTTTGAACCCCAAAATCCAGTACGGTATGATAATAACGTTATGAATACTTTATACTAGCAAAAACCCATTGGTTTTGAGGTGGGGCCATTGGTTTGACGGGTTGATGGATAGTAAATTAGTTTTTTTAGCGGAGCAAATAATTTTTTTTAGGGTAATTATCATTCTACCGACCAGTTTACACATTAAAAATACTGTGTTTAACATCGAGACACAATAAGACATAAGGTTTGAAAAAAGGCCCAAAAAACCAAATCGGCTGATATGCTTAGGTTTTAACGAATATAAAAAATGATCATCAAAAATTTTAAAAACCAAAATTTTAAACATCACCCAATAAAAAATTTAATATTCTGTGGGCCATCCATTATTAGATATGCATGCTTTAATTCTCCTTGGCATGCTTTCAATCAGTTTATTATAAACTTCTTCAGGAATATTAGATCACTCCTCTTGCAAAGCAATCTCTAATTCTTGAGAATTCTTGGGATGGATTTCTGCATTTTCATAACGTTTAATGGTATCATAAACTGTAGTTTTTGGAAGCTTAAGTATCTTTACAATTTTATTAAGACTACTACCACCGAATCTAAGACCCAAAAATTTTCCACGCTCAGCTTCAGTTAATTCGGAATTTTTTGGCGATCATATCATATTTAAATAAAAAGAGAATTATACAAGTATACCACAACTAGGGCTGGCCATGCAACCCAAATGAGCATTTGGTTAATCTGACCAAACTATTTAGCCATATGTTAGTCAAGAAAATTATTACTAAATTAAAATTTTAACCTTTCATGTTTGCCAACACTCATTTTTTCATTGAAATTCTGATGAGGACCAATTTTCTCAATGATTTGATTGGATGGTTATATTTGATCTGCATTATATGTTAAACAACCAATGGGGCATTACCGTTATATTGTTATATAGAAAAGGCCGTTAAAACTGTATGACAGTCCAACTTCTAACAGCAACAAACAACAACAAAAAAAACAACAAAACCAGCAATAGTGATACTAATTATTAATTTATTAATTAATTGTAAGGGTAAATTTTATAGTTACATTTTTATTTTAAAGTCAAGAGTGTGTAATTTTTATAATAAAAAAAAAACCTCTCTATTTTTGTAATTTTCTCAATTTTCAAACAGCTTTACGAAAATGGCACTTTCATTAAACAAGTATCGTCTTCTC